TTGCTCCGCATACTTATTCGGATTTGATCGATTTGCTGGATCTCAAATTGGCAGCGTATTTTATAGTACAGATGTGGAGTTCTAAGAAAAAGAAAGAAAAGGCATACGCAGGACATGAAAAAAAAGCCGTAAAAAATTGCATAACACACTGAAAATTACAAAATATGCTAGTCCCTACTTTCAATTGAGAGTTAAAAAATTTGGAAGCTGTCCTGATGAGCTTTAAAATCAATTCTGTTGCTATAAAAATATCTAGGATTTTTCATCGCAAAACCAATACAAAGTATTTCAAAGCCACAAAGTGATAAAACATTAGTTACAGATTTCTTGCTTTCTTTTGCGAAGAATCGCTGAATTTAAAAAACCTAAATATATAGCACAGTTGTAATTAGTACTACTCGAAGCCGAAGGTCCAGTTTTGTCATTAGGATAATCATTTCCTCTGCGATTCATTCATTTTTTTTGACGATTAACCGATATGTTGGGCAATCGAAAGCGCCATTAACTTGTTTATAAGCAGTTATCGAAAGAGTGAGCCATCGACATCCGTGCGGGCAGTTAGACGTTGCTAATAGGCTAATATTATCTCCATCTCTCACGGAGCATGAGCATGTAGGCTGTTCTGTCTTTTGATTTATACACGCTAAAATTTATGCAAAACTAACCAGCGCTGAGAGTACTTTTTTGCAACGAACTAGCTCTGCTCTGTGCTGTTACAAGCGTTACCCAATTTGCGCCACTTGCTGTCAATGCATGCCGAGTCTGCACGTCTGCACGACTAAATACATACTCTGGTGAAGTGGAAAAGTGTGAATGGGACTGCAAAAACGAAATACTAATCCGGAATGTTTGGAAAAGAAACAAGTTTGTAAGCCCAATGACTTCAATGCAAGAAACTTTGACCTGAAGGTACAAAAGTGGAAAAAAATTTAGGATGAGGCATAGAAATTTTTAAACATAAGCTGCCATTAGACTCCCTCACTGAGACATATTTTTGGAGGAGCTTGTAAAAATATGAATAGACGCATGCGATCGCAGTAGTGCAACTAAAAGTATTTCATAGAAAACTGAAGCAATAAAAGATTTTGCATCAACGATGAAATGCTTCAAATGCTTATTTAGGAAGATGACAATTCGCTCATCGCAGAAAACCCACAAGCGTTTTAGAAGCTGCTAAATGAGCTTGCGGCCAAGAGGAAGCAAATTAGATACTAAATTCATAGAGGCGAAACAAAGTAAATGAAGAACTGCAATTTCTCCCGATCGACAAAAGTCCGGGAATCAGCTCGCTGAGCCTACAAAAAACTACATCTACCCGGGAAAGACGACAAGGATGAATAGTGAGTTGAGCTTGGAGTTAAGCAGAAAAAAAAAGCAATATGGATATTACTTACTAAGTCACAAGTCATGTTCTTCAGTATCAATACCATTCCTTTAACCAGTTCTGTGGAAGTAAAAAACGGAATACTATGTCTGCTGAGGAGAAACAATTGCCGCTAAAAAAAGGATACATGGCAAGTGGCTGCATGTTGTAGCACGTCTCTAATGAAGTACATCTAGTAGTCATCTAGTATGAATAATATTATCAAAGCAGCGTATGCTGGCAAGCAAAGAACTGGATTAATTAGGTGAAGCGGATCAGACAAGTGAACAATATGAACTATACTAGATTGCACTCGCGCAACGTAAAAAGAACAGAGAAGGCCGATAATGCAAAGGAAGAGCCCGTCTGAACGGTACACAAAATTATGCCCGTGAAAGATGCCAATGAGAAAAAAAAAATAATTGGCCAGCACACCGACTGCCGGTGCAAAGATGCGTTTTTTGCATAGTTCCCCGCACGTTTTTGTCGCTAATAGCACCGTTTTTCCGGCAAATGCTTCCAGCTAAAAAAGGAACTGAGACTGGCCGCCAGGACTGTCAGAAAACATCTCCTCAAAATTTCAACTTTTTAGCTTTTCTGGTTCTCGAGTTAGCAGTTTATGCCAAAAACTACGTGGAACCACGTGGTTAGTAACGCCCTTTTCGGGGATAGGAATCTGTATGTGAATGCAAATTAAGTTCCCAAAGTTTCATCCCTATAGCCTTTGTAGGTCTCAAGATGTAAAATAGGTATAGACGAACACGCAGAAACCCCTCGACAATATGCGTTTTTGCACTGCACAGATGCAAAAAACGCATAAAAAGGAAAGTTGCCAGTTGTAAAAATTTCGAGAAAAAAAAAACCCCAAAGATGAAATAACATCTGTTTAACTACCAAAATATTCTAATACAGTGAACTCACTTGTATGACGAATCTGACTTGTAATTCTCATTCAGAATCTGTTGGAGTGAAGCCAAATTAAGTTCCGTATCTGTAAAATTTATGCATCACAGGGAGGAAGACAGAGAGTTTTTATATACATATAAGCCCATAAATGCAAATGGTAGCATCGATATGCAGCAAGAGATTCATCAGTGTAGTGTCCCCATGCAAAACTCGGGTAAAATAGT